AATCCTAGCTACCTCTAGCTCTGCTAGTGACTAATATTTAGCTGCTGAGCCGTAAAATGTGATAAGACATAAAAATAAAGCGTATTGAAAGATCAAAATTATACTCAAGATCGTGGATGATTTTGCCTGTTACTAAATGTGACCGCATCCTTATCATATCCTTTTTAAGCGTTTATAATGGGTACGGAATATCTTCTTGCTGCTAATTTTGTTTCGCTCGACGCGTTTACGACTGGAAATCCAATTAAACACATGAAGCGAGGCGAAAACATGTGTGACACATCCTGATAATTTTCCATCTGGCATTTGGCGCAGCCTTTTGGCCTAGTTAATGGCGAACTACGACTTGGCAACGACATCTGCAACTTCGCAGATACTTTTTGCCCCGCCTCCTTGCTTACGACTTGAGAATTCCAATTGAGTTGAGTTGCAGCCAGCGCAGACACCACATAGACTCATATTCCAGATGCTAGATAGTTAGCTCGAGTTGGTTATTGCCATAAATTGGATTGTGTTGGACGTTTTAATGACTTGTCTAATGTGCGATAATTTGCCCATGAAGAATGTTGCCAAAACTCGAAAATTACTTGGCCGACAAAGGCAGTATAACATGCACTCTTATTTAATTAATTGTTTGAAATTACTTTGCTTTCTTCTGCATCGGTTTACTCGATTGGTAGGAACTTAGTTGACCAAGGTCCTGTATATAAAACAGAGGACAGCAAAAATTGAAAATTCGTGTACAAGCAATGTATATATTCTTGATCAGCATCAATATCCGAGTCGATCTCGCCATGTCCTTCTGTATGTCTAGTTTCTTTCTAATAATCGATTAATTGCCCCGTTTCCAAGAAATCGATAAAAGTCGATATGGAAATCCTGTTTTTTGAACAATTCTCTTAGGTGTTAAGAGCTGGAGTCAATAATATAATAATATATCACAATAAGATCTACTGTTGAAAATTTCATCCAGATCGGTTTAAAAAAAAACACCGAAGTTTTTAAAGAAAGCGTTAAAGATATCCAAAATCAGAATTTTCCACTATGCTCCTCACATATAAACTTAAATCTTACCACGATTTCACAAAATTTGTAAGATAACCAACTCATATGGTTGGAAATTATGATTATATTTGACTCCATTATGTATAATCTAGCATAGGACTAGGTAAATATATCTGATTATACTTGGCTTACCAAAATAATACAATAATCATTATACATTTTCATCATTTCAAATTTACCCTTTTCTCACATTTTGTTCGGGAAAATTTCCAAATAAATTCACTAAATGAACTGCAGTCGATCATCTCAAGTTTTCGGACTGAAATTAATGTAACTCCTGCCGCAAATTTCACATTGTCCCCGGCTTGTGTGGCACACGCCCCCAACTGTGCAACAGTCATTAGTGCGATACACAGTACAAAGAGAAAAGCACGAGGCAAAATCAAAGTTCATTATTGCTGCAAATTGTGGCAAGCGCAATCAAACCGACTGTGCCAGGCCGTTGCACATGTCGTATACGTAATATAAATACGCAGCAAACCGTCTGACAGACTGAACTGTAGCATGCAGGCTGCGGACTGTGCCATTGATCAAGCTGCGGCCCAAAAGATGCTATTTACAAAAGGGCCAAGGAAATGAGCAATGCATGCCACATAAATCACGCGCAACATGCGGCGCTGCCGCAAGCTGGGTCCTGGCTGGAGTTGGTCGCCAAAAGGCAAGCTCATCAACTAAATGCAAAAGCTGCAGCGGCTGCTACCCAGAGCTCCTCGACAAGTGCTGTACTACAAGAATAATTGACGACGACAATGGATAATGAGCGTAGTACACACACACACACACACACACACACACCCAGGCCTGAGCTGAATCAATGCCAGGCGGAGGTTGAAGGAGCTGGCCCAGAATGCCAGGGCCTTCGTTGCCTGGCTGCAGGATGCTTGCCCGTCTGTCTGCCTGTCTATCTGGCTATTATAATCCTGCGGAAACACTTGAAAATGATGGATGAAAATTATCGTTTACTGCAACGCATGCAAATCCGTAAAATTACTTTCGAATGGATAATGCAGTTCCATTGGCGAATTTTCAACAGCTAAATGCTGGCACTATCATTTACATCATCATCATCATCATGAAGGCAAACCATAATTAAAGCAGACAAGACCAGAATAAAAAGTAAAGAAAAGAAATGATGAGGAGGGAACAGTTGCCGAACTTCATTTGAAATTCATATTTTAAATATTCGTCAGTCAATTAGAGAGCAAAAGACTCGACACCAAATTTGCATTCGAGCGTAAAATTATCAAATTAATATTCAGTCACCTCGAGAATGGCATGAAGCATACCATAGTCTGCAGCTCCAGAGCTCCTAGGAGCTCGAGCTGGGCCTGGCACAGGACGTCGTTGCCTCGCCTAGGCAATAAATGTCGACAAGTTTTGTATGTAGATGTCGTCGGCATTGCGCATATTTCGGCAAGTTGTCAACGCAAATAATAAACTTCCTCCCCAACAATGTCAATTTGATGAGCCATTTAAATATGCCCACTCCAGCAATATGTCTCCTTCTGACTGTCTCTCCGTGTGTGTGTGTCCATGCTTTGCTAATTGGAAACCTTAAGTTCATCAGGGCACAAGTCATGCGCTAAGGTAAAAATATTCAATGACACTGGCTTAAAGTGATGTATGGGATTAATCCTGCAAAGTACCAAGATTTGCAAGTACATAAATTTGCTAAGTCCTAGCAACTAAAGGAACATAAAAATGTTGATTCAATTTGTAAAGTTGAGCAACCGTTTGAAAGTTTTAAAAAGCTGAGGAATTGCGTTAGACCTCTCTGCATAAATCTAACAAGTTTTGCATAAATTAATCTTGACACAAAACTGCAACACACTCGTTATTAATCCAATCAAAAAGAAGTAAGAGTGCTGTATTCGGAACTGCTTGACTAGGGGATACCCTAAGCCTTTTTCTACCCATCCCATATATAAAATTAAAGATGCTTGATCTGTATTAATTCTATGCGTTAGCGACTATTGATGCTGATAAAGAATATATATGAATACATATAAACTCATCTTGGCGTCTGTAATTGCTTTAAAATTCACAAAAAACTTTGCAAGCTTTTGAAAGCTGTTTTAATGCACTTTGTTATTCGTAAAGCTTAAATCTTAACTAAGGACTGCCTTGCATTTCAGCTTTTCCTGAAATAATCAATATGCTGTTTACAGTTGTTTAAAAATTTGGATCCTCTCCTAGCTCTTCCAGCTTAAAGCTCTATAAGTTTGCTGAATTACAAAACTGCTTGCTTCAGATTTAACATTTCAATTGGAGCTACTTCATGAAGCTTTCATTTTCTACAATCTATATTTAATGTTAAAGCTCAAAGCTAAAGCATAAAAAAACAGCTTCAATTTCGTAATCCTAAAGCTCAAAGTTTTACTTTCCACTTGCAATTGAAACAGTTTTAACTCTTTCAGCAATAGCTTTCGTAAGCTGGAAATCAGTATTTCCTTTACACACACCCGAACGCTTGCAATTACCATTATCGATTCAATTAATAAGTTTTCTACAAAAGAGTTGACCAAGAGTGAATGGCCATTAAATAAGCCAAATAAACGTCAATACGCATTCATTGAATATTCGAGTCCATTTAGGCCATTATCAAATTTTTAATGCACTGCGCCTAGCGACAAGTATCCTTGAGCATTGATATACATACAACAATAAAATCGACAGATGAGATGCCCAAGCACACACAATCGCATACAAAGGGCGGCAACCAGCAACCAATTCCTGTAGCAAACTAAATGGGGCCACGCCCACAACCCACTACCCTCTGCCCAGTGTCCACAACCCACTGTTCAATGTACACATGCAAATCTCAGGCACTTGAGGCAAGCTCGATTGTCCCTTTTCTATTTTCTATTTGCTATTTGCTGTTTATGTGCGTCTGTTTGTGTGCGATGCCTCTGACCACTTGGCTGCTGATGCCTCTTGTCTCTTGCCTCTTGCCGCCTGCCGCCTGCCGCTTGTGCAGCTGCAGCTCGAGTTCGTGGTCCCTGCTCCTAGCTCTTCCTGCTTCGTTTGCTGCTGCACAGTTTTTATCTAAAGCCAAAGTGGAATATATTGAGATGGGCCGACAATGCGCTGTGAATTGTGGTGTGTGTACGAGTATTGGACATAGACATGAACATGGACATGGTACTAGCTCTAGCTGGGCCCATATCATTAAGTTTGCACAATGAAGCGCGCGCACACACACACGCACACACACACATATTTTGTTTGTCAGTCTAAAGCCAAAAAAATAAAATCCATAAAAGCGTAGAACGGATAAGTACCGGGTATTGAATGGGGCATGGGGAACGGAGCAATCTATTGTTGCCTGCCACTTTGTTAAATTTTTCAATCGAACATTGAGGCTTCAACGGATGTCTTTGTGGTTGTGGCCATTTCAAACTCAATTTTCTTTAGCCAAAGCAATGAGTTTATTTCCCACTTGAAGACATAACTATAGAGGGCAAGGTTTATGCACTAAAATTAAATTTCAACAATGAAAATACAGCTATTGAGATAAGGAATTTTAAAGTAATTATTTCAACGCGTGAATATATGTTGTATCATGTTAACATATTTTTATATAGCAGCAAACAATACGTGCCTGATAAGATAAGCAGAGAGGACGGATTTCAAATAATTTCATAATGCGGGCATTTTATTACTTTCGATGTTATCGATTTTTTTTTTGAAGCGCGCGCAATTTAAACAGTGTTGTAAAATGCATTTGATTCGATTTTAGCACACAAAGGACTATCGATTTGCGATGGCAGCATATAATATACAACCATATTATAAATAATTTGTTAAAAAGCAGTTACACATGTGGCTGACTAGCCTCATTTGAGCATATCGGTATTGGTAATGAAAAATACACCATACTTGATTCCATTGATCTGGCAACACCCGAAGGGTCAACGTTTGCGCAGCCCTGTCTAAATTTGCAAAAAAGTTTTTACCCATACTCTCGCGTCAGTCAAATTCCCAACAACGCGTAGTATTAATGTGTTATAAATTATAAGCTTTTAATTAAGAAGTGCAAATTGTGACAGAGAGCGAGCCAAAGCGTACTTATTGCTACCAGCTGACTGAAAAATGGAAGCACTAATTCCAGTTATCAACAAATTGCAAGATGTCTTCAATACGGTCGGCTCTGACTCAATACAATTGCCGCAAATTGTTGTACTCGGCAGTCAGGTAAGCAGCGCAGCGCCCACAATAGGCGGCGTCAAGGCGAAAAATTATAAAGCAATGTTAAGCAGCAGCTGCTGCTGGCCAAAAATGGGGCTCAGACAGCGTCATATGTTCAATTTTGCACGCAACAAAAGTTTATTCGACGTATTTCAATTATATAACGGGGCTTGTTTGCCACACGCCGATGCCGGCACGTAACAACAAACTGTTTTTCAATTGCCCGGGGACCCAGATTGCGTTTTGTGGAATATTTGCGATTTTGTTTATATAATTGAATGCAAGCGCAGCTGTTTTTATTGATGCAGAGCGGCCCAAACGAAAAATCGATATTATGCACAGTATATAGAACAAAGCAGCTGCTGTGACACATTCCAACACAAAACACACACACATGACGCACACACACACACACACGCACATTCATACAGTTTCCATTTGTGAGTTTTGAGTTGATTGTCGCTCAAAAGCTGCAATTAAAGCTTAATTGCCATATTTAAAAATACTACCTTGATTTAAGAGACCCAACTTTAAAGTGTTCACCTCAATGATTAATTTGTAATGCATCTCTCAACAAGTAGAAGGGAACGCCCGAAACTCGCTAAGATCAGACTGAGTCAACTCATTTATATCAGGACCCTTTTCCGACCTTTGAAATAGGGAAACAGACGTATGTGTGGGATATATTTCATTCAGTTCGATCATACATACATATGTATGCTCCCTAGTTTAATATAAATAAACGATCTAATTATAAACAATTGCGCCATTTGTCATAGCCGGACCCAAAAATGTTCATATTCCTTATTATTATATGTAATAATATTTAAATAGTACAGAAAAAAAGACAAAATGCAATGGGCGCATACAAATAGATCAGCTTACGCTTAAAAATGTCTTCGATATAAATTCCTATGAACTAAGTCTCAGTTAAATTGTAAGGGAAAAATATCAAGTTGCGTGTTTAATGCAAAGTAATAAATTATTAACTTGTAGTTTAATATCATATAGGTTCCAGTTACAAACTGTCAAACTAACATTTCAAATAGCACTGGAAACCAAGACCTTTGGCTAGGACAATACTATATCCATACTCTTGGCTGGAATTCAAATCCGGAGCCTCGTGGTTCAGGACTTGGACTTGGACTCCTCGTCTATCGTAGTCTGCTGTATTATTGTTATTATACTCAAGTAGCATTACTCTCAATTATACAGATAAAAATTGCATTGACAAACACGGTTGCCGTTCTGAGACCTGAGACTTGACACCTAAGACCTTTAGTGTTTTATGGATGCTGACGAAACCCCATTTTTTGTCAACATTTGTTGGCTTTAATCTAAACAGACTCTTGAACTAGATATTTGACGGCATCTGCCTTTTACACTTAAAATAGTGTTAAGTACTTTTTGCAAACCTGCGTGCACAAGATATTTTGAAATTTATCATCTTACATCACGTGCGCTACTCCAGAAATGCCAACTCCACCGAAGCACTTTTCTGATCAAGTGTTTAACGCTTGTAGATTGCCGATAAGAAAATATGTATATGCGCTAATCGCGGGGCTCTCGCTTCCTGGTTGCACTAGTAGATATAATATATGCGAGTGTATATACACATGAACTTGCAAATAATGCTTGTCATTTGATTGCAGAGTTCAGGCAAAAGTTCCGTAATCGAGAGCGTTGTTGGTCGCTCGTTTCTGCCACGCGGAACGGGCATTGTCACACGCCGCCCGCTGATTCTGCAACTGATTCACTGTCCGCTGGAGGATCGCGAGCATCGCTCAGCAGAGAATGGTGAGCTGGCCACAAGTCGAATTTAAATAGCTTTTGACAACGATTCTCTGTTTTGCAGGCACTGTTAATGCGGAGGAGTGGGGACGCTTTCTACACTCGAAGAAATGCTTTACGGACTTCAATGATATACGCAACGAGATCGACAATGAAACGGATCGTGTGGCCGGCAGCAACAAGGGCATCTGCCCGGAGCCCATCAATCTCAAGATATTCTCCACGCGCGTTGTCAACCTGACGCTGGTGGATTTGCCGGGCATTACCAAAGTACCTGTCGGCGATCAACCTGAGGATATTGAAGCCCAAATCAAGGATTTGGTCATCAAGTACATTGAGAATCCTAATTCAATTATTTTGGCCGTAACGGCCGCCAACACGGACATGGCAACCAGCGAGGCCCTCAAGCTGGCCAAAGATGTTGATCCCGATGGCCGGCGTACACTGGCCGTGGTCACCAAACTCGATCTCATGGATGCCGGCACTGATGCCATTGATATTCTGTGCGGTCGCGTCATACCCGTCAAGCTGGGCATCATTGGTGTAATGAATCGCTCGCAGCAGGACATCATGGATAAGAAGAACATCGATGACCAAATGAAGGACGAAGCGGCTTTCCTGCAGCGCAAATATCCCACGCTGGCCACACGCAACGGCACACCCTATCTGGCGAAAACTCTGAATCGCCTGCTGATGCACCATATACGCGACTGCCTACCCGATCTTAAGGTGTGTTTTATATTTATATTTGCTACTCCTGGAATCTAATCCATTTGGCTTTTGTAGACGCGCGTGAATATCATGTCCACGCAATTCCAATCGCTACTCAACTCCTACGGCGAGGACGTTTCGGACAAGAGCCAAACGCTGTTGCACATTATAACTAAGTTCTCAAGTGCCTACTGCTCCACAATTGAGGGAACGGCGCGCAATATCGAGACAACAGAGCTGTGCGGCGGTGCGCGCCTCTGTTACATTTTCCATGAGATCTTCGGACGCACATTGGACTCGATACACCCGCTAGCCGGCCTGACCAAAATGGACATTCTCACAGCCATACGCAATGCAACGGGGCCACGACCGGCGTTGTTTGTGCCTGAGGTGTCGTTTGAGCTGTTGGTGAAGCGGCAAATACGTCGCCTGGAGGAGCCCTCGCTGCGCTGCGTGGAGCTGATACACGAAGAAATGCAACGCATTGTGCAGCACTGCGGCAATGAAGTTCAACAAGAGATGTTGCGGTAGGTTAATCCCATTACCTAACATGAACCGTCAATTTATCCAATTATCATTGCAGTTTCCCCAAGCTGCACGAGAAGATAGTCGATGTGGTGACCCAGCTGCTCCGTTGTCGTCTGCCTGCCACCAATGTCATGGTCGAGAACATTGTGGCCATCGAGCTGGCATACATCAATACCAAGCATCCAGATTTTCACAAGGAAGCCGCCTTGGTGCCCAGCCTACTCAAAACCGACAACGATCCCTATTCGCAGTCGCGACGCACGAATACGTCACGCAATAACATGTCGCCGCAGGTCTCCGCACACAGCTCGGTCACACAGAACCAGCAACAGATGCAACAGTCACACCAACAGATGCACACACAGCAACAGCAGCAACAGCAACAAAATGATACGCACGACCAGGTAAAGATTGTTTGCACATCTGTTTTCTGACGTTCAAACAAGGCTGTTAACTGAATTGCTTAGAAGTTGCATCCAAAGATGTGTATATAAAGGAAAAGCTTTTATAGAAATAGCTGTGATTATGATATACTCTGGACATTATGCTTAAGACATTGCAGGGAACATCAAAGCCACTTTAATTAGAAAACACGAAGAGTATGAGTGAAAGAGTATTTAACTTTGTTGTCTCATAGTTTGTTTATACAATTCGATCAATTCGGCTACACAGTTATCACACTAATATGCGATTCAAGTACTTTTTGTTTGAACCAACTTTATTTTCATAGATTTCTACAACGTTTTATGGGCTGCTTTTGTCAAGGGTATGTAAGCTTCGGTGTGATTGCTTTGAATGCTTTCCCCTCGTGTTAATATTTATACAGTTTCTAAAGGCCTTTTATTTTGAAGCATCTCAATCATATAACTGTTAATTTTTTATTATCAATCATGTTAACAAAGTCAAAGCGCGCCACAGCAGCAGCCCTTAGATATAAACTGGCTAACCCTAAGCAAGACTTTGCTCAATATGTTTTTTCTCATATCAGTAATAATTTATTAACCGCTTTTAGAATCACGTTGGCGAAAACTCAGCAGGCTCTTGGTTATCAAACATTTTACCACCCCCGCCCAATCGTCACGACAGCATGGAGAACTCGGCTAGCAATACGCCAGTGCATAACAATATGGTCAGTCCACTGAAGCCCGTCAATCTGCTGCCCGATGTGCCGGCTATTGCCAATCCACGTCGCCTTACAGACAAGGAGCAGAAGGATTGCGATGTGATTGGTTAGTTTGACTTCAATGAGCTCACCTTCCTCTCGTTCACTTATCTAAATTTATATTCCTTGTAGAGCGCCTGATTAAATCGTACTTCTATATTGTGCGCAAATCTATACAAGACTTAGTACCAAAGGCAATTATGCATTTCTTGGTTAACTACGTTAAGGATAACTTGCAAAGTGAGCTTGTCACCCATTTATATAAATCGGAAAAGGCTGAAACTCTGCTGAATGAGTCGGATCACATTGCAGTGCGCCGAAAAGAGGCGGCGGATATGTTGAAGGTGAGTTTCAATATATTCATTTATTGTATTTATTAATTTATTGAAATGTTTAATATCTTCTTTTAGGCACTAACTCGTGCGAACCACATTATCAGCGAAATACGCGAGACTCACATGTGGTAGTGTGCGTGCCTGTGCTTGACCCAGATATGATATTGGAGCCAGTTTCGACATAATATCCCAAGAAATTATAAAGCACTATTTATTGAAAACAACTAGAAATCTACTATCAGAAAACCCGAAGTTATCCGCTTTGTTAAATGTTTCCCAAAACATTAGCGCTTTACATTTAGCACCAAATTCAGAATACGGGCTAAACCAGACCATATTATAATAGATTTAAGTATATTTAAAACATTTCTTCGTTTTCTTACCGCTGCATTTGAAGAGTCGTCAGCAGGGAGACAAGCATCTATGTATTTCAGTTTCTACTTGGACGCCTAGCATTTCTCCCCTTCATCATTTGACCATTTTGCATGTGAAATGAGTTGTCATCGTGATTGGTTTGTTTTAAGTTAATCAAAGCACCTATTACATTTTTGAATAGTCAAATAAAATCAGAAAATCCGTTGATTTAACACTGAACGAAACTATCACTTTTTAAATATGCAAAACCGGAAACAAAAGCATTTCGGTTAAGGTTGAGGGATTGCGACCTTTGAAATTGATCACGTTTTTGAAGTTTTAAACATATTTTTATTTTCTTGTTTTAAATCCTTCATTCACTCGCTCATAAAATAGCGAAATATACTAGGCAGTTTTGTAATAAAAACTTGAATACTTGGATACGAGTTAAAATCTAATTTGGAAAACTCATTTTTATTGCGGCATAATCCAACTGGCGCTCGGACTAGGGCTCTAGCTCGGATATTTAACGGGTTTTTAAAGTGGTGGCAAAAACTACAACACTTATGATTCATTTATCTGGTTGCACATTTCTAATAGAACCGACCTTTAAGCACGGTTCGTGTCGGAGAGCACACGTACGATGCAGCCAACGCCGCCCTTGGCGAATGCCTTCTCGTGCCACTGCAGCAGATGCCCGCTGGAGCCCTCGGAGGGCGATTCGAAGCCCCGATATATGTATTTCATAAGCACATCGATCAGGTCGTTCTGCTCCAGCAAATCGATTGCCTGATCGATTTGCGTTGACTTGATCGATAACAGCACGCGCAGTGTTATGTTCAGTGCGTTGTCCTGCAATCAAAATTATGAATAAGCGCTTATCTCTGCATGGGTGACGCATTCTTCTACCTTGACGTGCTGGTTTTTACAACGTAGGGGCGCGTTTTGGAGCGCGCTGAGCAGCGCTTCCACACCCTGGCCTTTTGTTAACAGGGATGTAATTTCGTTCTCGTCCGGACCAACGGCGGCGCTATCAACGCCATCATCTTCCCGGAAATTGTCCTCGTTATACTGGTCCACATCGATTTTGCGAAACGCACTGCTTGAAGTGTTTTTGGCCATGTTGAATGTAGTTATATGCACAGGTTTTATGTGTTTTACTTATTTTATCCAGCAAATTGATCCACGGACTACCAAATTGTTGAACAGACCTGGACACAGGGCTGCAAAATACACTAAATGAATCATGAAGATTGGTTATATTTGCCAGCCCCAAAAGCGTTGTGTATCCCTGGTAGCACAACAATAACATATACATTTTAGCTAAGTGGCAACATTGTTTTGCTTTGCACGTAAGTTCTTCAACTACAAATCACAAAATTTGTTATAATTTTCCATTTGCCAAGCAGAATGGCCAATTTTTTGGGTATTACTCGCTTGGGCAGGCTGTTTCAGGCCATTCGCGAGGCCGGCGGCTTCAAGCAAGCCTATTTGAAGCTATACAGGTGAACACAAGCTCCGCGCTCTCTTATATAAGTTGCAAATTTCTTAAATTCTCATATAAACAGAAATGATGATCTGAAGACAGGCAAACTTGTCGGCATAGACAAGTACGGGAACAGGTACTTTGAGAACCCCTACTATTTCTATGGCAGAAACCGATGGGTGGAGTTTTCCCCACATGTCAATATGGACTACGATGGCTCACAGATACCCGCCGAGTGGTTCGGCTGGATGCACTACAAGGTAGGTGCTATTCTATCAGCTGTTATTCAATTCATATAATGCTTATTTTAGACGGATTTGCCACCCATCCGGGATGGCTGCCGACCCAAGCACAAGTGGATGATGGATCACAGCGAGAATCTGTCGGGCACCAAGGGTAACTAAAATATGAACAAATCCTATATACACATATTAAAATTATTTGTATTCTTACAGAGTCCTATATGCCATACACCACAACGCCTCCCAAAGTGGAGGCATGGAATCCATCGGCAAAGAAGTAGTGACTGCTCCAAGCACCCGTAGAAATTCGTTAGCATAGATGGTTATTATTTAAAAAATTCAAGTGCGAATGGAACACTCCTAAAGGCAGCAGACGCCATAGCGCTAATAAAATTTGCTTTTTGTTGAGCATCTTTATTTGCAAAAGGAAGTCTACATCTAATTCTTATATATACTATGTCTATAGCTAGATCATATCCAGCTAAACAGCCTATGGTCAAGATTTTATGGACTCATTCGTCTATGACAACATCATCTTTGAGCGCCTTCTTGGCTCGTCGCTTGTACTTCTTTGCCGTATCGGCGCACTTTGTGGTAATGGTGGCTCTTATATGACGCTCCTTGCTGCCGGTCCGATTGCGTACACTCACAACAATGTCATCAACCCTGTTCTGGTCGAGCATCTTTTTGGCCGGGCGCTCACGTCCATAAAACGCTGGTGACGGCTTGCCGGTCAGCGTGTGCGTGGCCAGCTCATCGCTGCTAAAGACGGCGGCCAGGAGGCAGCGCGTCGCAACCGGCGCACTTGTCCAGAACACCTGACCGTAGTCCTTGGCATTGATACGCGTGCCATGGGGCCCAAGTACGTATTCGGAGCTGCCATCTGCCAGCTGTATACGTTGCGGATAAATCGAAAGGGATGTGGAATTCTCGGGATCCAAATGCGATTCACTGGAACTGCTCGACATATCGTGACGTGCTCGCTTCAACGGCGGCGGGGGTGCCTCTTCAAGCTCGGCCTCTGGCTCTGGTTCCACCTCGTTTCCATCGTAGCGTCGATTCAGCGTTTGCAGCATGCTGGTTAACCGGTCAAACAGCTGTGTATAGTGCTGCTGGCTTTTGTTTATTTTGGCCACACGCTCCTTGAACGAGGCTTCAACGGGCGGCAATGGCTCCACGTCTAGTGTGCGATCACGTGTGCTGCCGGACATTGCCACCACTTGGACATTGATGACGCGGCGTTCTTGAGGCTCCTTTTTGACCGCCACCAACTGTCGATTGCTCGGCAGCTGCAGCTGGCTAAGCGGACGCGGTCTCACATTCTGTTTACGCAGCAAACTCTGCTGCTTGCTCAGCTCAGAGTTGATGTACTTCTCAATGTCCATCTCTGCAGGGACAACTCTCTGCTGGTAGCCGAAGTTCAAGCTGTAATCGATGGGCGATGGAGTAAGCAATGAGTAGTAGTAGGGCACCAGATTCGGAGCAAAGTGACTTAAAAACTGTTGATACGGATACGAGTATGGAGAATGCGTAAACGGCACAACTGGCAACAAATTATTTGGCTGAATATTCAGGCTGGGATTCGTGAAAGCAGCTGCGCGAGCTTGTTCTGGCCACGTCTCTGCACTGTCATGAACTGGCATGTAAATTCCTTCAACGTTGCCATTTTTATTTCCAAAATTATGAAAATGAGCCATCAATGTTCGGATCTTTTTTCTTCGGCAGGTAAGAACAGGTAGGCAAATCTAGCGCAGCTGCAAAGGTTTATCGGCTATCTTTGTTAAATGTTAAGCTAGATTTACAGTTGGCCTTGGAAACTCCTTTGCAAATTGCAGGTTTTATGATCTAGGATTAACAGTTATTTCAGTTTGACAGATGGCCAATAGAGTTACCAGAGAGCAATTAATTAAAACAGCGGTACTTGCTCGAATATTGCTGAACGATTTTTCGTAGATATTAAAATACCGCTCAAGCGGTATTAATAAAGCATTATATATATCATCTTTTATAGCGTCATACATATAATGTTGCGTTTTCCATACTTTTACTGGAAAGGCCAGTAGCTTGAGTTTCAAATAGTTATTCTAATTTGTTGTTTGAAAAAAAACATACTAAGAGTCCGCCATTATTGAAAAAAAAAAATAAAACTAACGAACGTTGCAATAGTTTTATTGTGTAATTACAGCTTAAAACAGTCGAAAGAATCATATTGACTATTGGAGCTTTGAATTTAAGTCTGTGCGCCTGACTTTCAAACTATAAGATCTACATTTTTCTATTTGAATACTTTTGGAAAGAGGTCACCGAATTTGCCTGTCGAATTAGGTGAGTAGCTTTAAAACTGGGGGACATTGATTTCTCAGACAAACACTCCATAGTGCACCATTACTTCTTGTCACAAGATCAAAATTTCAATAAGGAGTATTACTGGGAATTAAAAATAAAGCTTCGTGCCATTTTTTATCTCCAAAAATACAGAGAACGTCAAAGAATAATCTTTTTGAAATGAGGAATATGCTTTCTTAAAAAATTAGTTTCGATTTCATGGAAGCACTGTCAGTTGACAGCAGAAAATCAAATGAGAATAATTTTAAAGTTAATAATATTGCTGTAGACAAATATAATAAAATTCGTTTAAAAAAAAATTGAAAATCGTGCTGGTTTTAACACTCTTTATATTAGAATGTAATGATATGAAAGATACAATATTAAATATGTTAAATGAAAGGCAATACTGTTTTTCAGATACCTGCCTGCAATCCATCTCAAGTGTTTGCGTTGAGAATCAGAAATCGTAACACAAAAATACATATTCTTCACGGTTTCCCGTTTAAAACAAACTTTCTTGGCGAATTGAGTTTACAGAATTACACAAAGAGGACAACAATGGACTCATTCTACCTGGCACAAGAAGATTCTGCTTAAAAATTCCACCAGGCTTTATGCTCTAATGGTTTTAACATCTGCGCGAGCTAGGGATGTTTTATTTTCCGATCAGAGAGTCAACGCGTGTTTTCCCCTAGTATTCCAAAAGGGATACTTATTTTTGTATGCAAGCCGACAACTGGTCCCATTACGTTTTCATTCCCGTGATCGAAAAACCGGTTTAAGCCAAACGGCTTCTTGCAGTTACAATTCTTGCTTCGATAGATATTTTAATTATATAAATTAACATTTTAATACATGGTGGGCTATAAGTTTAATACTGGTTTGCTAATAAAACTAATACAATTTTCTGAATTTCAACTCAAAACTGATTTATTATGTTGAAATACTAGCTGTAAATGCCATGCAATACTTTGCAACTAATGCTAATGCCTTTTAGTGAAAATACTGTAATGTGCCAAAAACCGAATGGTTGACAACTCTGCCTTTGCTTTAAAATTACGATTCTTGTTCCCGCGCGAAAGAAATGCATGCAGTGTGGTGCAGAGGCAGGCATAAAGTAGAAGAGAAGGATCAAAAATGAAAATTGGTCTCACGCCAGTTGGGATATAGAAAAGAAAGTCCCATTCCAAAGAGGATACGCATACAAACACGCACGTACACACAAAATATATTCGCTTACCTGAAAGCAGGGCTAAAGAGCGAGCAGCACTCACATGCACACACACACATATACACACTAACTCACGCACACGTACATACTCTTCGGCTTTATTGGTTCCCAGGTAGCATGTGTAAGTAGTTGGAATGCATTGTGCCTGTTCTTGTTGTTCTCGTTGTTGTTGTTGTCGCTGTTCACGTTGTTGCTTTTGCTAAAAACTATAAACTACCCCTCTGTCTCTCTCATTGTGCATGCATTTGGTTTTTCGCGCGTTGTTTGATATTCTGCCGCCAATTTCTTTGAGTTTGTGTAGCGCTTCGCACAGTTGACGCTCATCCTGCAAGACGCATGCAACGCAGGACCGTAGCCAGGATCGAAAAAATGGAACCCCAAGTAGGTGTTGAATCCCAGTTCAATGCAACTGCATTTATTAACAATATATTTTAATTAGATACTGCCAGCAAACGGCTCCAATTTCGTAAATGTGCGCGACGATTCGCATTGGAGCGGCCGGGAGCAGCCGATGCTGCTCACCGCCTGGACACAGACTACGGGCGAGGACTTTGGGCTGTTGCGCACTCTGGACAACGACCCCCATGTGGAGGCCGAGAATCGTGCACTGCGCGATAAAGTGCGCTATCTGGAGGCCAAGCTGCAGGAGCACACGGATCTGCTCTCCCAAATACACGCGACATCGGCGCGCATGCAACTGGCCACGGCCACAGCTGCCTCGCCGGCGACGCCGCCCACACACCAGCCACAAATACTGACACCGCCCAGCTCTGTTATCTGTGCACCCAGCTCGGGGCAGCCGCAGCGCTCCGAGGTGATTGACTATAAAATAATTGCAGCCGCTGGCGCCGATTGCAACGATGCGGATGCCATCGAAATACGTTTGGCGGCGGAGAGTTTGAACAGCCTGAGCACATCCGCCGACTCGGATCGCCTAGAGATTTGCCTGGGCAATGATGAGCAACTGCAGCAGCAACAACAGCAGCAACAGATCAAACGCGAGTCCACGACGCCGCTGCAGCTGATCAAGCGGCGCAAGCTGGAGCTGCAGGAGCACAACATGTCTGCACCGCCGGTGCTGCAACAGCAGCAGCTGCACAACGTGAATTACAAGCTGCCCACGCGCCGAAGCCATGGCAAGGCCAGGGACGAGTGGAAGCCGGATGTCAAGGCTGAACAGCAAATGGCAGACAATGTGATGGTCTCCATTGGGCCCAACAATACCTGTGTGCCGGCCAGTGTCTTTGAGAATATCAACTGGTCCGTCTCCTCGCTGGCCACGCGCAAGTTGCTGGTGGCCACATTCGATCGCGAGACGCTGGCCACACACTCGATGACCGGCAAGCCGTCGCCAGCCTTCAAGGATCAGCAAAAGCCACTCAAGCAAATGCTCGATCCGCTCAAGATACAGGACATCATCTTTGCCGTGACGCGCAAATCGAATGCCAGCGAGAAGGAGGTGCGCAACGCAATCACCACAAAATGCGCCGATGAGAATAAGATGATGAAAATTCAAAAGGGCAAACGCTGCAGCATTGGCGACAAGGAGAACATGCATTAGAGATTAAGTTTTTATATATATCTAATACGGGGAGGGTTTTCCCCTCCCAAATACCAAAAAGTATCAGGCTGCAAAGTTAAACAAATAGGTATTCCATAACTGTTAGCCCTAGAAAAGCCCTACCAACAACTTTGTCATTTGTACAAAACGGAAGATCTCGCAGTTTGTGTTTACGGTTTGAACAGAGCCTGTAAATCAAATACCAACTAAAGACCCATAAAATAGTTAGAAAAGCTCTTCGAACGGGCTGCCTGCAAGAGAACTAATCGAAAACCAAACGACTGTTAAAGAAAACATTTCAAATTGGTAACATATATAGAGAGAAAGTCTATATAAAATAATTTGTTACGATTTGTATATCTTATTGCTGCCTGTCAGTGTTTCTCTGCCTCTTGTATCAGATCTGCTAAGTAATAGAAAATATTTAGATTTAGAGTGAAAAGTTGAATAAATTATTTTAACCAAATCTAGTATTTATATATATACATATGTTTTTCAAGTTAAGCCCAAATTTTCAGCAAAACGCCAAAACATTTTAAGCCGGCCCGCCATGTTCTAATTCCAGTACGTAGACATCGATGCGGCGCGCGTTTCGTTTCCATTTTGTGGCGCAAGCATGGTGTTTGTGTGTGCGAGTATGTATGTGTATGACAGTTGGAACGAAACGCTCACCGCTGCTCAGGTCAGCTGTTCGCTTATCGAGCAATTTCTGTTCGTCGTGGTGGTGTTTGGGATACGTGAAAATTTTGTTCACACACAAATAAAATAATAAATAGGGAGAAAAACTATAAAACGAAGACTTTTCACAAGTTTTGCTAACATAATTGTTATTTGCGTCATTTTGGTTCTTTTAGTTTTTTCTTTCTCTACATAAATTCACATTGTTTGCGTTGCTCAGTCTCCAAAAGGATAAGCATTTTCTGGACCCGTAAAAGTACGTTTAAACAAAGCTAAACAAAAACACAACAAACAAAAAAACAAGCAAATTCGCCATGGATATACTCAAGAAAATGTTCCAATCGGAATTCGAGCAGCAGCAGCAGGAGAAAGAGTAAGTATTCAAATAATGCAAATTTTATAAGCGGACTGCGGCTTTTTTCAATGAATCGATCGATAACCAGGCACCTGCTATGATAGATACATTTTTACCAGGATATACACAGGCGCAAATGTGTGCACTGCCTGTGCATGTATAAGTGTGTGTGTGTGTGTGAGCTTGTGCGAATGCATGAGAGTTGCGGAGGCTGCGTATTGAAGTGTTCTTCCTGCGGTCGCTAGGGGGGGTTGCTGTGGTTTGTGTGTGTGTGTGTGCTGCCGCCCCCTTGCCTCAACTGTATTTGTATGCTCCTTTAATAAACCGCCTGTGTTTTTGCAGCGCTTCCGCAACCGCCTCCAACAAGGATGAGTTCCGCAAGCCCCAGTGGTTCGAGGAGGCCGAAACTGATGATGAGCTCTTCGATGACGATCGGAAGTTTGCGTTCCAAGTCTTTACCAGTCCATTGGAGATGCAGAAGCACTTTGAGCGTCAATTGCAGCGTCTGCTGGAGTCGGTGCAAGACAATGAAGGTAGATTATAATGAATCCAATAAGTTTCTGTCAAGTACCACGAAAATTATCCGCAGCAGATGCTGGAGTTGAGCGTAACTTAAGGGAAGATTTTTTGAAACCCGGATTCGAAAGCAAAATACTTAAGGAATTTCATAAGAAGGAAAATTCTCTCGACACCGACTTGGATGGAGAGTAAGTAGATAATGTATATAAATTCCACGTCATCTAAATTAAATTGTTCATTTGTATGCCCAGAATCTATCCAGATCAATTGTACACGCTGATACAACGCCTGAATCCGGAGGAGGCGCACGAAAATATTTTGCCTTCCAATCAGCGTGGTTTGCGCGTGCCACGCGTTAAGCTTTCCGATGAGGAGATTATTATGGGTCGTATACACGGCACACTCAATGCCGAAGGCGAGATGAAACCGGCCGTATTGCTACCGGCACGGCCGCCGAGCGGCAAGCCGAACATAATGACGCCAATGACGCCATTTGGCGGCGTCTTCGATGGCACCTATCAGGGCCCGAAAATGTTCAGCCAGAGCGTGATGACGAAGACTGTGCGCAAGCCGGATGGCAGCTACGAGACCACTAAGGTGACCCAGGACTCGACCGGTCAGAAGACAACAACTGTGACGCGTATTGTGGACGGTCGCAAGGAGACAACAGTCAGCCAAGAGGGCGCGGGCTCGGGCCGGCAGGCAGCAATTGGAGCTGGGGGTGATCGTCAGGCGTGCATGAATCGCAACATATTTGTGACAAAAGAAGGCTACGCCATGCCACGGAACCTCTGGTGACCAGTGGTGAACAACTATTGCCCCAATCAAGATAAGCGATCAATGCTGCTCCTCCAGCGGCAGCAGCAGCAGCAACAACAGTATGAAGATAAGCTAAAGCGATTCGTCGGCAACATAGTCCCACACAACATCCAAATTAGAACCTATTACATTTTAGTTTACATTCTCTTAAGTGTTTGTTGGTGTTTTAGATGAAACGCAATTGAGACAACAGATGACGACGATTATTGACCATTGATTATTTGAGCAGCGATCCACAAAGGCACTCGCTGTTTGTGTATTGTGAGCAGCGCACCAGTTGCGCCCCCCACTTTCAGTTCCAGAGCAAACTGCAGGATACACCCCTCAGCACTGAGGACAACGTCATTCCGGACGACGGCAACCCAGCCCTCTCGTCTCGTCTGGTCGTTGTGATCAACTGCAGGCTCGGAGTTGGTGTGAACGTGATTCTTTTCAGTTTTGCCAGTCCGCCTCGGCACCACCACACGTGTGGCCCGTGTCTGCCCAGCCCCATGTGCTGTGGCACTCGGTGGCAATATATTTTTATTTTTTTTTGTCTTTGTATTCTCTTCGTGGTACTATCTGTGTCTCAATGGAGCGTGCAGCATCTAAAGTGCCCGTAGTAAAGAAGTTGCGGAAGCAAAACGCATAATTAAAAAAAAATAATACAACAATCATACATATACCGGCTCGTACAAGCATAATTATGATTTGATTAAGTTTCGATATACTTACAAAAATGCACACCCAGTATGTTGTGGTGTGGTCGGATCCACGCACATACATATATTATTTCTAATTGTTTTTTTTTTTTGTGACATTTCTTATGCAAGCTCATATGTAATTTGTTTGCATACATATTTATATACTTAATCGCATATTATTTACAATTATTGCTAATCTCTATATATATCTATTTAAGTTGATAATTTTCTATTAACAAATAGACCACAATGCTAACGCATACATATAACATACATTGTATTAGATATCATTCAAGAACATGCAAGTGAATAAAGTGTTGTGCAATAAACGAGTGCAACAAACCAAGGATCGTTTTTTTCTGAGCATATTAAAGAATATTTAGAAGGCTAATACGTTATATACTTACATGTGAGCTGTCTGCATGCCATAATCTGAATGGGATTGGTTGATAGGAGGAATCTGCTTAATATGAAATTCTGCTAAGACATATAACGTAGTTGTGTAAGTCGCGGTTATTTCGTTTTGTGGAAGCTATAATTGATAATTCCCCTGGCTGTCATACTATGATGTGATCTGATCCGGGCTACTCTGCAACAATATAGGTTGGACCTATCAAAATATCTTTAAGCCTGAAAGAATAGAAAACAAATTACATATAAATTATTATGCTTAATACACATAAAATTAATATTACCATTCAAAAATATAATTAAAAGCAATCAACCAACCATTTGAATCGCATGGGCAACTTATGTTGAGATTACATCGAAATGAAGCAAACCTTTTGGTTTCAATAATAATGATAGTTTAGTTATTTTAAATAAAGTAAATCTATATATCTGAGGTACCGCTATATTGGCATTCCATTCGGAACAAACAAAAGCAAGCATGCTTGATTATTTCTATTCAAGCTATTTCGCTCTATTTCAACCAGAATTAAAACCAGGAAACAACTCATGGTTATGTTCCGTGTCTTGTTAGTTATAACTTTTCCTTTTATTTGTATACATATTCAACTAGCTCAATGGTAGTAACAGCTTCCTCGGATGGCCCAGCAACGCTCCTAATGATGACCACCATCCTTCTTCACAAAACGCAGGCCACAGTAGCCGCAGGCGTGATTGCCGGGCTTATCCTAGAATCAATTAAGAGTGTCTAGAATACGTTCAATAAATGCTTATTTCCAATTTACCAGGTTAATGTAGACTTTGGGGTGTCCGAGTGGTCCGTTGCCGCCGTCGCAGCAGACAACGCGCTCTTCGGTCTCAATGGGGAGCACCTCGTCGATCAGCTTGATGCCCCAGTTCTCGTTCACGTAGCGCTTGGCATTTGTGAAGCGCACATTGCGGTAGTCGTTCTTGTCGAACACCTAAAACCGAACATTTTGTTTCACATATAAAGGAATAACAATGTTTGCGTAATCGCGAATCCCACACAGCTGAGCGCCGAACCACACTTACCTGGCCAGTGTGTGTGACTTTGTCGATGTCGCTGCGGGAGCTGGAGTTGCGCACGGCGGCTAAAGGTGTCACCCAGGTCTGGTTACAGCGTCCCAATGTGCTAACACGGCTTAACAACTGTTTGCTGGCCATTTTTCTGAATCTTTTTAAAATTTGTTACAAAAATTTAGTTATGTTTTAGAGATGAACGTTTACGTACGTACCCGTTACGTCTGACAAATAGTTCGGTTGAAATGAACTAGCGGCACAGCTGTTGTCAATTGTTATCGCCGCAATATTTAAATATATAAGGTAAATGTATGTGCAACTATATATTATTAATCAATTTCTGTAAAGTTGAATGAGTAATTATTATTATTTGCAATTTGGTAGGTTTTAAAGATAATGATAGTATGTATCGATATATCGATTACAATTTACGTGCTCTAGCACCACAGCCTCTCAAGCGGCACATACAACTTTTTTTCGACTGTGTGGCAGCCCTGAAGTTGCGAATCCAATTGGAAGATTTAAAAATTCCGCTTAACGTTTTTATTTGACTTTGGACTTAAACTTAATTCTTTGAATATAAGATATATTTTACATTCGACTTACTGCTTACTTTAAGGAAATTTAAATGCATTTGTCAGGCACTTAAACTTTTTCTAATACAAAATAATATTTTATTTCTCATTTTTATTCCAGCCAAGAAACCAACTGTAATTTTCGAGGAAAATTGAAAGTAAATTTCAAGAATTGTTTAAAATTATTTAAAACGAATTTTGTCTCTGTAAAAGTTAATGTAAAAGGGATGGGCAATGATTTAACATTATAAATTTAAAAAAAGAATAAATTGATACAAAATATAAAACTGTCATTCATAAAACTTTTGCCTGTATTTTCGACCCATGGGGAACACAGCTTCTTTAAGTTAAGTTAAAGTTAAAACACGCGTAAAATGAATTTTCACAA